GTTTACAGAAACAATTTCATGTTTCTTGTGATTTGCAAAGGATAATAAAATTCGAAGAAAATCGAAACGATGATTGTATACATATTTCTTTTTCAATCTGTCATATGTGGAGTGTCTAATTTATCAGGTCAACGATACATATAAATCAACAAGTCAATCACAAAAAAAATTATCGGATACAGATCTAGGTTCTTTCTTTCACCTGGCATTACGTATTCCGAGCTCGCGTTACAAATACGAGACACTGGTTTGGTTACAGAAGCAGATCTCGTATTTGGTAAGCGCGATCTATCGACGTCGCTAAACTAGAGCCGCCCAAGCAGCGCAATCAGCTGAAATACTGCAGAAAGCAGGAACGTCGGTAGGGAATATTTAGATGAGTGTGTCTCGGACGAGAAGAAAGAGAGAGAGAGAGAAAGAAAGAGAGACGAAGGAGGGAACATCCATTACGTAACGGAGCCTAAACGTCCGCATCGCCGCTAATTTATGATTCTTCGTTCCGAGCAGCCTTCGTCGACATTGTACTTGGCGCTATGGAAACTAGAATGTATTTCGATTGCAATGAAAGATTTATGCAGATCGATTCCGGAGGTTCCGGCAATGTATTTATATTTTATCCATAAATTGATAATAACTTCGCTGTCTCGTTCGGACCAGATAAATCGTCTATGAAATGGAACTAACAATGTAAGCAATCATTTACGTGAAATAAAATGTGATTCGCTAGTCTACATTTTTATTTTTTGAGAATCTAGTCAGATTTTATTTATGGGAATTTTAAAATTATTTTCCATAAAATCTGTACTCTAATTAATTCACAATTAGGTTAGATATTTTTTTATTATAATTAATTCTTGTTTTCTTAAACGTGAGACCTTAAAAATAAAAATTCCTGTCTGAAATAAAACTAACAATATAAGCAATTGTTTACTCCAAATAAATTCATATGATTCGACAGTCTGAATTTTTTTAAAGAATCTAGTCAGATTTTATTTTATACGAATTTTGAAATTATTTTTCATGAAATCTGTATTCTAATTAATTAACAATTAGGTTAGATATATTTTTATTATAATTAATTCTTGTTTTCTTAAAGTTGGGACTTTAAAAATAAAAACCCCCGCGCTAATATAAAGCATAAAAAGAATTAATTAATATATAGCTACTTACTGTGAATTGTACAATTCGGAAGTGAATCCTGTTGAATATATATATCAAGCGAAACTGTTATATATAAATGCGAGCGTACAAATGAGATTTCTGCATTGCAACAGGTGCAAACACCAGGGTCATATTAAGACTCTAAGCCATTCAAACTACGATGTATTAAGAGCTTAAGACTTGCATACACTGTGAATATCAGACCAATGAAAATTAAGTGCATCGACTGCCAAGACTTTGCAAAATTCTAGGATATCCTAAGCTCAAAATAGCTTTAAAAACTTGGTAAGAAAACAAAAAATCTCTGTTTCCAAATATACTGTTAATTATATACATATAAATATCACGATAAATTGTAGCAATACAAATAATATTCATCGTCGTAAGAAATTAACAGATGTTTCTGTGCAAAACTTTAATTCTACAAGAATAACCTTGATAGAAATTAATAACGAACGCACACACTGTCTTGATACATCAATCGCGTAACGAAGATTAATTGCCCTCAAACGGTCACGATATCGACGACGCACGCATCGAGATCATTCTTTACACGCGATAAAATCTCGAGGGTAGAATCCATTTCGAATATGCTTGCATTCAAATATATACTTTCCCTGAACAAGAGGCCAAATCGTTAAAATTGTAGACGCGCGAGGATAACGCGACCGAGGGATGCTAAATGCGTCGTCTCTTTTACGATTGTTTTTATGACTGTTCAACAGAGACCGAGATTTCTTCATGTTCGCGGATGCGAGCCGAATATCAAAGCAGAAGAAATCGCTGCTCGGTGCTATCTGTCTCGAATGGCGCAATCGAACGAACCGAAAGTAAAAGCGCGACCGCACTTGCTCTCGATTTATTATACCGTATTCACGACAAGATTTACGATGTGTACATTCCTTTAAAAAAAAAAAAAAAAAAAAGAAAGAGAAATTTAATATCTTCAATATTGAAGAGCCGCGAAAGGTGATATATAAGCTCGTTTGAAAATATCTCATTAAAATAAAACTGATCGATACTGCAGTGGCTACAAAACCTGTCGAAAGTAATCGCAGGGGCTCGTCTATCGGAATATTTCATTCCAACCTTGTACAGCTCTGGAGATATTGGATATTCTCGCGGTATCGAACGTCCATAATAATCGGGGAATATGTGCCGACGAATGCATCGCGCAAATTGCTACAGGGTATCTGACTAAAAGCACTTTGTCCCTTGTCGGCGAATGCCGCGAATATCTACTTTGTCCCGCGAAACGTCTGATCCATTATTCAAAATGGAGACCCACCGTCAAACCGGACCAGCTGACGAACTGAATCGCAGTCGTTTGAAGAAGCGCAAATATTAACCCGCTGCTATTTTTCTCGAGACTTCCGTCACCGAATAAAATTATATTTGCTAGATATGTGTGTCGAAATTTCTTAAAAACGAATTGAAAGTAAAACTGACAAAAAGATTAAAATAATAGCAGATATATCAATCGAAAATCAATTGTTAATTAAGTTAATTTATTGTCATGTCATATTATATATTTCTTTAATTTAAGAAATATACATATAATCAATTAAATATACTCTATCAAGCATACTCTACAAAAGCAAATAAATATATCTGTTAGGTAATTTCGTTGTTTAAAAAATTTTCGTTCAAGAGCTGCGTTTTTAACTCAAATATCCAACGTAAATAACTGTAAGTTTGTTCCACGTATTCATGCTTCAAGAGTGAATTTTTTCCTTCTACGAATATAGCCTGAACTCGTTTGATTTCCAAGAAATTCGCGGCGCGGGAGAGTTTAATCAACGCGGGAGAAAAAAAGTCGCGAATGAGAAACTCGCGTATGGATTAATGAGAACCGTTTAAATGTTTGTCGAGAATATTGGTCGAGACACCCGGTATATGGGTTCTTCCACGGCGGGGCACGATGGATCAAAGAATCAATTTAAAGGCGACCGTTCATGGTATGTGATATGCGTGCTTGTGTGCCGTGCGTGCACGTATGTGTGTTTGTACGTACATCATCGTCACCAAAAACAATTTCGCCTTATTAAGAGCCCCGGGATCGTAAAGATGATGAGTTAACGAGCCACCAGCTCGTTTCTCGAACGCATCATATACCGGGTATTATAGACAAACAAGAGCACTCGTACGTATTATTACTCGTAGCTTGCGATGCAGCAAGATTAAAGAGATGTTGTAAATATGTATATTATATTTACGTACGTCAAAAAGGTTTCATAACTCGCTTTTTAATCAAAGCCCTGCAAATTAATCGTGACAAAAATTTCTGTGTCAGTGGCAGACTGAAAAGACTGCAAAGATCCTTTTCGATGCATGTTTTGATGCATCAAATTTTTGAAATATTATTTTGTATACAAATAAAATTTTAAATCAGAGAGGACCAAAATTTAGCAGTAAATTTTCTCCGCATCCATGACGAAGAACATTCGACGCTTTGAGAAAAAATAGGACAGAGAGCGCGGCTTTATTTTTATATTCAAATATTAATACTAATAATTCCAGTCTGTAGCTGATTTTGATATAAAAAAATAAACTCAATCATTTCGCGCTTTTAATTAATTTACTATCATTTCGAAATGAGCATTCTTTCTTTCCTTCTTCATCAAAGTACGATGTTGAAAATATAAAATATAGCGCAGTATTGAAGAAATAATATTAAATACAACACTATATATAATAAATTTGTATAGTGCGTGGATTAAAGCATACTCCGCAAAAAAGAGTTACGTATCTATTTGAAATGGAAATGTTTTCCTTAAACATGGTTAAAAGTTGCGCAAACACTCTCGTTCGCGTCATTTGACGTTAAAAATAAACTCGTTCCAGAAAAATAATATGTTGTGCACACCGTGATATGTCGCCGAGGGTTCGTAATCGGCGAGCTACGGTGCTAAATTCGCGATGAGAATACGAACCGGAGCCTACCAAGGGACCTACTTTTGCAGTTTCCTCCTCGCGATCGTTTACAAATCTGCTTTGCGACGCAAATCAGATCGATTTGCAAACCTAGACGGCAATTAGCACCGCGTGCGTGCCGTGAATCTCCACTTGGATGTTGCAGCGTCATGAAACGTGCTCCCGGTATCGTGCTAAATGCACGCCCGTATCTCTCGCGTTTGCGGATTCTTTTAATACGACTGCAAGAAAAGAAAAAAAAATCAATGCACTCGGTTCGACGACGAGAAACGATCGCGAGAGGAATCCGGTAACCGGGTTAAAGGAAACCGCAAACGCGAGCCATAGAAACTATTTTCGTGGCGCGTTTCGCGAGATTACGCAAGAATCGATGATGTCGAAAGCATCCGTGATTAATTATTGAACAAGAGAGAGAGAGAGAGAAAGAATAAATTCATCGCGTCCGACGATGCGGGATAACCGATGGATTGCATAAGACCAGTTAGCATCAATCGAAAACTCAATCGTACTTAGATTGGATAAAATGAACGGGAATGACTTAGAAAAATAGCTTTCCTCGCGCATCTCTCAATGCAAATGCGCCGACCCGATTGAAACTGCATTTCTAAACTTTATAAATCTCTCACTCTCGTGTCATCGCAGCAATATAAAAAAAAAAAATTAGCATAACGTAATACAATTTTTCAGTTTCTTTGTGAAACCTCAAATATTTCAAAATAATTTTTATCTTTCACCTAAAATCTCTGAAAATGCATTTATCTAATTTAATCTGTTGCACAATTAAATATTGAAACGAGAAAGAGAAAGAAATTGAACGTTATCCGATCTGAGAATCACTGCTGTACCACCCATGCGATCTCTGCACCTAGTACACACCACATATATACACACATACACAAACTTACCTCAGAGTTGCTGGTGGCGACGCTGGACAGACCCGGGGACATGGTGCCGGTGGCGGGGTCCGGGCTCGCCGAGACCACCGTGGGGTTACTGGGGTGATGCGGCAGCAGCGCGGGAGCATGCGGGTACGAGGCGAGATGAGGATGCTGCGGCTTCGGGTGATGCAGCTGCGGGCCGGGCGGTGCACTTTGCACCACCATCGGGACGGGCGGCGTCCTGCCGCCACCCTCGCTATCGGCGCTGCCGACGACCGCATTGCCGCCGCCGCCCTCACCTCCGCGAAACGATTCGTGCAGGTACTGACGCACCTGGTTCTTCTGCTTCTGCACCACGTGGTAGCGCGTCGGGTTCTCCAGCAGCGTGCGCACCTACGGGTTTAGCAAATATATGGAATTTAATAAATGTATCACATGTATTGACAATCAAAAAAATTTAAGATAGAAATATATACAGGGTGTCCGGTAACTAACGGACCATATGATTAAGGGCGGATTCTCTGGCCAATTTGGAGACGAGTTTTTCTTAGCAAAAATGTTGAGAAGAGTCAATAATTTTCGAGTTATAAGCGATTGAAAAAAATGGGTTTTTTGAAAACTAAACGTTTTGGAGTTAAAAGTCTAATATAATTACATTGTTCAGTTAATTTCAGGTAGAGTTTACTATAATAAAATTTTAATTTGAGGCTTAGTTATAAAGATACATAATGACAAATATTGGAAAGTTGTAAAAAATGATGACCTTTTTCGATATTTTCGCTCGAGGAAAAATCGTTCCCAAATTGACCAAAGAATCCATTTGTAATCGTTGGTCCGTTAGTTACCGGACACCCTGTAGAGACCGATTGACTGTTCTCGTTTTATTTTTATTAGATAAAAGATTGGTATTTTAAAATGGTATTTTAATTAGTATTTTAAATTGATATTTAAAAAAATATTCTAATAAAGATCTCTAATAGAAATAGAAAGAGTTAACTCGCCAATTAACTCGCGACATTATACATTAGATATATTGTCATAAATAAAAAATGCGATATCTTTTAATTAAATACTTTTCTTAAAAATTGAGTAAAGATATTCAGAATTTAGAAACGTAGTTAATGTAAGTAAGAGGAAAATAAAATTAAAAAATTATATATACACATATATATATATATATATATATATATATATATATATATATATATTCTGAATTTTTCTACTCTAAAAAAATTGTTTGTAATTATTGTATTGAAAAAAAAGACAAAGTCTTTGCAATCTTAAAAATGATTCTACGTAAAAACATAATTAAAAACATCGCAGCTATCGGTCATTCGTGACCACAGTGATCATATTGCGCGTGTAGTTAATTACGCGAGATAAACCGTACGACGACTCTTACATCTCCTCTCGTGTCTTCTCTCGCTATCTGACATTATTCCGAGAGGTTTACATAAACACGATGTACCGAATAGATCTATTAACGACGCTGTTCGAGAATTCGGCTTGCCTTACTACGATACGGCAAACTGCGAGGATCTCGAAACTATAAGGTATCGTTATCTTAACTCGTTCTCCTGTATGTATATCTATATGCACAATGCTTTAAGCGACGGAAACGCAAACGACGGTAACCGGATGCTTGACCCTTCTGCTACTTGGATAACAAGACACTACTACTCATCGAGAAGACCATCGCGTTGGACTTTGGGTACTTCGGTACTTAGCACGAAGTCTAGCACAAACTCTAGTTTTGAGATACAAAACTTTACTCAACATTAAATATAAGAAAATCAAAGAAGAAAGCCAAGAGAAAAAGCAGACGAAAGAAGGCGAAAATACATTTAATAACTATAGTCAAAAAAAGTTACAGGAAAAAAGCTATATATTTATTACATATTGAAATGCGACGATTATTACTAGTTATTCGGATCGAAACCGTGTAATCGAATCAGAGAATAAATAAAGATAAGAAAGTCTAATAAATAATTATTCTCTATACTAAAATATTTGAATAAAAATTTAATATTCCGTGTATAAACAAGGTTTCCGATATAATAATCGGGGCATCTCTTTGTGCAAACGGAACGAATTAAACCGAGTACGAAAGTCCATTTTACGAACTTTAAATAAGAATAAATTAAAAAGATCAGTCAATCTATGCAAATATAACAAAGTGAGAAAAGACACATCTCACTATTTATATACTATATTATATAAAATTTATCCAATTTAAATATAAAATTGAATACATATATACATATTGTATAATAATTGCTCGCACACACGAATAAAGCATATAATCACACGCAAGTCAAAATATAATACTATATAACTGTAAATTTAATATAATATAATTTAATATTATCTACGTGCGTAATATTATCTCGCACGAGGTGACTTTATAATACTATATGATTTGATTCTCATGCGCGAGCAATTTAGCATCGGTCGCGTAAATGCAGCAATGGAAGCACATACTTGTAATACTTGCGGTGGCACATCCACGCCAATGGTGGGCAACGGCGTAGGCGGCACTGGTCTAGGTGGTGCAGCAGCCGGTCTCTGCTGTTGTAAGCTCTGCCGGAATTCCGCCTGTCGTCTCTCCTGCTCCTGCAGCTGTTCTCGCATCAGCTGCAGCTTCAATTGCGTGCGCGACGTCGGCGTAGCTGTTTTGAATGTCGGCGGACTGAAAAAAAGCACAATATTTTTTACACGTAAGATTTTTGTCCCGAGACCTCTATAGCTGGTGTGCTTTTGCCTTACATTTATATTCGCGCTAACTTGCACACGAAAGTTAATTGCAAGTGTCATTTGTCTGCACACTCGAAGAAATTGGATTTTCCTCTTTTAAAGGAATTTTCTTTCCAAGCCATTATATATAATTTATTAATTAAGATATGTATAACAATAAGTAACATTTTTAAGTAATTTTTATCAACTATAAAAAAGTAAAAATTTCAAAGTGATATTTTTTAAATATTATTTTTCAATGACATTTACACATTTTCTCAGTAAAAATAACCTTAGAAAAATTCTTCTCATTTTGTTATCGTTCTAAGTCATCGGTTAAAGCAAATGACAAAAGCTGCATCAATTCGTTCGGAATGAGGCTCGATCAATTACGACGCCGCGCGTTTGTTGACGATAAACGCGGGAATATTTAGCATTGGCAGTTGAGAGAATCCGTCGTCGAGTCCTAAGTCCGAGGCAAGGCCAATTAATCTCGCGGCGCAAACACTATTGAATCGAACTATCTGTCCGCGACGAGTCGAGAAGAAAAACCCCGTAAAGTCAATCGGCACGATTCGCGGCGGCCAAGTAGATAAGTCATTAATGGACAGATGCGATAGGCGAATAATAGGCACGTCGCAGAGTACGATTCGTAATGCGTTGCGAAACGACAAGAAACAACAATCTGTTGAGTCGTTGAAGAAAAAAATGCTGCTCGAGTCTCTAAAGACGAATATATTATATTAATTAAGTAGTATTTTTTTTAACACGCGCTTTCAAAGACAGGTTTCAATGAAATAAATCATTGTGTAATTAAGCAAAATTTAACTATACTATTAATAAAATTTTTTCATTAGCATAATGGATTGCAATATTAATTCAATAATCATATAAGAAGATAAAAGAAGAATTTAATGTCGATAAACATCTTGTTGCGTAAAATGATAATGCTTCGAAGTTGATTTGTTCAAACAGAATAACTAAGCAGAAACTCTCTTTATTGACGTCTCTCGACCGTTCTACTAAATGTTATCAGACAGAATTAATGGTGCCATGATTCGGACGTAAATTCGAGTGATGATATTACTGAGTTTTGGCAGCGTTCGGCGAGATTCGCGCGATAAAGCGCGCGGAACCTCCCGAAATTCGCGTATAACGAAACGACCATATAATTCAAAGCATATAATTTATTGCACATCGAAAGCCAATAAAATAAGTAAAGAGTTTCTTTGAATTTTGAGGAGAATGCGAACAAAATTTTGCGAACACGATAAATCGCGCAATCGCCTTTATTTTAATATTGATGATTAATATGGCGCAAATAACATTTTTCGCTCTTTGCACTATTAGCATTAAGAATAAATGTATGTCATAGAGATGTCCGTATTTTGCTGCCGACTGAAGGACATTCCCAATTCGGGAACAAAGCCAAGATCTGGCCATAAGAAAGCCAAAATAGAGAGATTGCGCAATCTGGATCGAGCGTTAGCTCGCGAGCGTCTTTCGAGACGATCTTCCATCTTCGATATTTCACGCTTATCATATCACACATCCACTTTGTCTCGCAGAATATTGAAAGAGGACAAGAAATATTGTTCCTCAATCTCCATCTCCATTAATTTTAATCTATCAATTTATTTTTATTAATTTATCGCAATTACAATATTTAAGTATCTTTGTGTTTTTATTAATTTTATTTATTATGCAAATATTGTCACCCATACACAGAGAAAAGATATATCTGCATCTGAATATGAATTGTAAGATGTCTAAAAACTGATGTAATTAAAAAATTCAACGACATTGCAATCATCGCTTGTCGTTCGTTCAATTCATTTTGCATTCATTTTTTATATCAATTAATTTTTATTAATTTATTGCAATTACAATATTTGAGTACCTTTGTATTTTTATTAATTTTATTTATTATTCAAATATTATCGTACATACACAGAGAAAATATATATCTGCATCTGAATATGAATTTTAAGATGTCTAGAAACTGATGTAATTAAAAAATTAATAACATTGCAATCATCGCTTGTCGTTTGTTTAATCGATTTTGCATTCATAAAAATTTTACTTTACATTTACGAAAAATTTAACAGACTCGTTACGTTGTCGCGGGACAAGGATTAAAATTAAAGAAACGCATCGATAACGAAACTTAAGAAATAACTGTTTAAGAAAACTAAATGATCAAACTTTTCAAGATTCAATCTTGTAGCCAATAGAGAAAGAAGAAGTGACGTCACCTCCACAAAGAAGGACGCTGAATATTCGTTCAAGTCTTAAACTCAAAAGCCATCGTCTTTGTACGATTACGAAATTAAAAATTCTTCCGTTTCCAGCCGAGCGGCCGTAATAAAGCTGTTACAACTTTTATAATAGTAGTACCGGCTGGCTCGTGAAAGGCGATTTAATCAGAACACCAGCTTTCCCGGAGACCATTAAAACGTCTTACGAATTTTTCTATCGTCTAAAAGAAACAGATTTGCTTCTCTCTTCCTTAACACTTTTGTTTTTAAAAGCTTTGACTTTTTCAGCAACATGTTTACGAAATTTTTCTAATATTAATTAAAAATTATAATTTCAGATTTTCATTAAAATATTATATCATATCATGGCCGATTATTTTAAAAAAAGATATTTAGGTTTACTCCTCAATCATACATAGATATTCATTAATACAATAAAATATCAAAGATATTTTTTAATATAGATGTTAATTTTATATGCATAACTGCTATTATAAAATTAAATTTTTAATAATTGTTTTAACAGGAAATCTCACAATGTATTTAATAAATTTGAAGAATTAATATCGCCAGAAGAGTAGCAATCGGAAATAAGAATCGGGTATTACTAGTGATGGCTGAGTTCACCAGAAAACTTGTGACCGATTAAAGAACGGAACGAAAATACTGATAGAAGATTGGAAAAGTTTCCGATGAAAAATTTTCTGCGGGTAAGGTCAAAGTTGAAATGGAATTGGGTAGTTTTATTCCTTTCTGATAAAATCGTTGTATCGATATTTGGTGGTAAAATTGAGCGACAGCGAGTTTGATAATGTGTATCTTCGATTCCGGTTGTTTGTATTGTTTCAACACTATAACATCAAACTTTATTCTCCCGTTATGGCATTAATTAAGGAATTTAATATCGCCCCTAGACGAAATTTGCCATTAAAAATCGATGTAACCAAACTGCTCTTGTTAAGATCGAATTAAAACCGGTAGTTTTATTTAATAGAAATTTAATTATCTTAAAGTTTCATTGCGAGAAAACTTTTTGCAATTACATAGATCGATTATAATTTGTTCGTCGAAAATTTATTTCGACGCAAAGTTGAATAATAAATGTCAAATATTTTTTATCGATCGAATTAATACAAAATTAATATCTAGTATTCCTGAAGTCATATTTTACTAAATTATTAACCAGTCATCTTGGAACTGATAATAATAGCAACAATAGCAGGTCTGTGAAGGGTTGTAAAACGAATTCGCACATTATTAAATATTGCATTGCATAACTCTCGTTATCGCCTGCATGAACAATGCAATCGCGCATCGATTTCAAATACGTTCGCGAAAGGTTTCGGCGGCAAAAGCTTGACTTTATATATAAACAGTCGACGGATCGAAGGTGACCACGGCGTACTCGTATATTTCTTCTCGACGATATTGGATATTGGACGGTCGAAAATAATTTTCGACGTTACATTGGATACCATTAATTCTCCAAGGTCACGTACGAGTCTGCTCGCGCAATACTTGCGCGAGTTTCTCTCTCCATACTACGTATCGCACTTTTTGCCGGCGGGCTTTTATACATGTCCCGCTTATTGTTAGCGAAATAAAGTGTGGAGAGAGAGAAGAGAAGGCGCGATCGTAATACTGAATTTAGTGCTTATATAAAGAGCGACGGAAAATCGCTTATGGCAGCTTCATGCAAATGCGCGCGAACTCTCTCTCTCTCTCTCCGGTCCTCCTTCTTATTCACTGTCTCTCTATATACGGTATTCAAGCAAAGATTTTCCTTTGCGAGAGAATCGTCGAGAAGAAATCCTCGGTGGCGGATTTAGAAAACATGTTATCGCACATGTAAAAAATATGTCAGGAAAGTTGATCAAGTATTTCATTAATTAATTTCAAGTAATACAAATAAAATAATTTAAAAATTAAGTATGGATTTATTCTAATTAAATATATATTAAGAATTATTTGATTATTCATTCTAACATATACATAATGTAACTAAATATTGTATTAGACAAACTTTAAAAAAATATTTTGTAAATAACACACAAATTATTGCAATATAAAAATTATATAATTATACTACTATAATAAATTAGTGTGAGAAAGAGAGCTAAAATAAAATTAATGAAATATCTTTTATGGTAATGGTATGATATTTAAATCTTTTTAATCCTTTTGTACGTCATTTATTTTCTTTATAACAATTTATTATTTTTTTTTAATATCAAGCGAGCTTCGTGTTTCACTGAAGAAATACGCCACTGAGAATCCCCGAACAAGGATCGCCAAGAAGATATTACCGGAATATGGAAGGTGGAGGACTGACGGTATTAATGTCATTAGCCTCGAAGAAAATCGGTGTAGCTCGCCGTCGTCAAAGTTTTATCTTCATCCCCGCGAAATGAATTAAGTGAGAAAATATAGCCGCATGCTCTTCCGCGAGACGGTCGATATAAATCGCGATAATATGGAAAGCAGCTTCTTTGTCGGATTAATGTACACTCTCGACTAAGATGTCGGCTTCGGTCGAACGAGGCCGTACGTGCACAGAATTTCATCGTCGAGACGGAGATTATCGTCGCGGGTGGGTTCTCGATCGTGAAATTCGAACAGCCATTTACTCCGATATTCGATATTCCGGCGCGAGAGAATTAATCTTAAAGAGCACACGAGTGAATTGATAGCGAGACTA